CCAAACTATAAAAGGACAATAAGCATTTGAAGTAAAATACGTTGGAGACTTTCTCTAACTCAGTAATTCTCACCTGGGGATGATTTTGCCCCCAAGAAGACGTTTGGTATTGAAGCCATGCTACTGAAATGTAGCGGGTGCAAGTAGGGATGCAGCTAAACATCCTACAACGTGCAGGGCAGACATTCCACTACGGCACAGAATCATCGAGCCCAAAGTCAATTGTGTCAAGGTTGAGAAACCCTACTAACTGAACTACCCCAGGCAGATACTTCTATCTGAGAATACTTTGAATGGAAAAACAAAACAAAAATCTAAAAACCTAGTGTCAGTATCAATAAAATCATGACTCTGAGAAATAGAAAAATGTGCAATACATTTGAGGTAGTGCAATCTGAGGATCCAGATAGGGACCTTGGCTTTACCCGCTAAGCTGTGTGATACTGGGTCAGTTATTTAGCCTCTCAGAGCCTCAATGATGTAACCTTAATATGGGTATGGCGGCAATAACAATACGAAACTCAGTTCTTTTATAGGATAGAGTGAGGATCACGTGTAAGTGTAATAATGCATATGAAGGCACTTTGAGCATCAGTAAGCACTAAAGCAATGTCTTTCCATTTAATCCCTATAAAGACAAGGTTCTGTGGAATTTGACATATGCAAATATAAAGAGGAAGTTTTCTAATCTAGTGTCCAACAAGGGGAGCCACTTCTATATCCTTATCGTGTTCTGAGTTGGGTGGTCAAACAGGATTTAAGCTTAGGTCATCAGTGGGCATTTTATTGACAGGGAGGGGAGTCTAGTTAGGAGCACATGGGCTAAATTGGCATAAAAAAATCAAGGGAAAAAAAAAAGTGAGCCCCCACTATTCTTAGCACCACCTGAAATGGGAAGATGGGATGTCATACAAACTGGAGATATTTATCAGTCTTCACTTTCTAGGAAGCCTACTTCTCACCTGGAAAGTCCCTTGCTGTACGAGGCTCAGGATTCTAATAACGCTGATGACACAACCAGCCACCCCCTCACAGCAAAGAGATCCTGAACAATCCCACTCAGCCCAGCCTCCCAGGGAGCCTAGTCTGGGGCGAAAATTAATTTCTTATGCTCAACTCACCATTCCCCTCCCTTGTCCCCACCACTACATTGTGTCAAGACGGTAATCAGAGGCTTTATAAGGAACATTTGTCATTGCCTAGATGCTAGCTCTGGGCTGATTCATCTTTTATTTCCCTCTCCTGTTCCTTAGCCTTTCTATTTTCAGGTTCAAAGAGAGAAGCCGCTTTTGAGTTCTCTCTCTCAGAATTAAGTGATATGATTCCAATGGCTACAGAACTTTTTTCATTTTGGATCCTTCCTGATTCACAAAGGGCATGCATGCTACATGCTCTGTGCCCAGCTGGTTTCTAAATATTTCACAGTGGGATGTTTCAGTAAAGCCACACAAAAATTTTTAAGTGCCCATGAGAAGATTCTGGAGCTGACCCATTTGCCCTGATACATGAGGACCTGTTGAACAGAAATGAGGCTCTGAAAGGGTGTCTTCAGAATGAGATAACTTATATGAATATTCTGCAGGAGTTACTCTATATTTATTTACTATTTAAACATTAGCAATAGTCAAGCAGCACAACTGAACGCCTCCTGAAGTTTTCCATACTTATTATTATCAATTAAATAGGATAGGTTGAAGAAAGAAGAATACATCACTTTTGTAGAAACTATGTCAAGACTGCCTGACCATATACAGTGGGTATTTTCATCTCATGGTCTAACACAGATTAATTAAATGTTGCCAGATTGCTCTCAGTTTAGTTAAATGGGTCCTTCCAGTTGCACAGGGAAGCAGGAGGTAGAGAAAATAAGGTATCCAAGATCCAAACGTGAGCCCCTCCTGACAAGTCTTTAAGGTGTGGAATGTAAACGTGGAATGCATGTTGCACTTTTCAATACTGTATTCCAGTCTAGGCAACAAAGTGAGGTGATAGCTCCTTTAGATACTCAGCATTCTTTCCAATGCTTCATGGAAGCAAATTGCCATTGTTGTCACAGGAAGACAGCTCGGACTCATTACAAATAAGTCTTTCAGCAAGGCTAAAAGAACTTTTCTTTTTTAAAGGAGGATTTTCAAGTCCACATCTCACAATAACCACCTTTGTGTGGTTATTGATACTAACCTTTGTAATATGGCATTAAAAAAAAAAGGAATAAACCTAAGATGACACAAGAAGAATGATGCTCATTTCTATCGATGCTCTTCTCTAAATATCCCCTAGATTGCTGTGGGAGCAATAATGGAAAG